ATCTTCAACCATGGGGAATAAAACAAAACCCAGAACAAATCTTTAAACATTAAAGGGTTAAATATTGCAAGAACCTGGAAAGAGTGAAATCACACTAAAATCACTCTTTTGTCCATTTTGAAAAATTATATATATTCTTTTAATAAGGCACCATATTGAATTCAGAAAGGTCGGGTTAGGATTCTGGGTACATCTGAATAAATCTGGGGGTATTACATCATAACGATATTAAAGAAATAACATAGCTTTGGCATTGGGCATCCTTTACCGTATCACATTCTTTTAAAATGCAAATGGGGATGTTTCATTTTCCATGTGGAGAATACTAAGAAAGCCACTGGATTTAAACAAAGAAATGCAAGTATCAGTGCAAGTGACATGAACACATAATCCATCTTAATATTTCAGAAAGACCACTAAACTGTCTGGAATGTAGTGCTCTACCTTGCTTTACTTTCACTTTTTGAAAGCTATATGTGACCAGACAACTTTGGTTAATTTTATTTAATTTCAAACTGTGCAATACTTTAACCTTGACAGATGATTTTCTCTGAAGAATCAGTGACCTCAATATTGCATGTGTATATATTTCAATATTACTTGGAAGACTGTCCACACTTTTTAAGGAATTTAGAAGTATCTAGCCACAACCATTAATGCATTTATATACGTATGTTGTTACGTATTCAAATTACATAATAATGAATTAATAATATCTGTATCTAATTACCTTACATTTATACCACTGCATTATTTTAATATAAAATCTGCATGAATTTATTGGACAAAGCTTTATTAAAGTAGGACTGGCAAATAAAAATTGTATATATTTAAGGTGGACAATGTGGTTTCATATATGTATATATGAAATGATTACTATGACCAAGTTAATTAACATACCCATCACCTCAGTTGTTTCTATTATTATTATTATTATTGGTGGCAAACACACTTAAGATGTACTTTCTTAGCAAATTCTAAGTATACACTACAGTATTATTAACTACAGTCACCATGCTGTACACATGAGGTCTCCAGAATTTATTCATCTAAAACTGAAAATTTGTACCTTGGGACCAACATCTCCCCATTTCCCCAAACCTCAGTAACCAATATTTTACTGTGCTTCCTTTCATTTCACTTTTTTAGATTTTAAAAATTTTAATAGACATACCCTATTCGCAGAAAAAAACGGACCACTATAGGACATTATTTTAAAAAGGAAACATTTTAAAACTAGAGATTGGGAGAATGGATTACCCTTTAAAGTCACACCTAGGAGTACAGAAGCTGTAGCACATTAAGACCTTGCCTCTGAAGATTTAAGTGTGTCAGAGGCACTATCCTTGGCCATGTGGCCTTCAAATTTAAATCTGGGGCAAACATGTAAAAAGGAAATTCCACTACAAAATGAAATGCACAAAGTTCTTCCCATGACCACAGAACAAAAGAATCGAGAGGTGTCCCAAGAGTTTACATGAGCTGGGTCTTACATCTGAAGGTGGCTTTTACCAAGTAAAACGAAGAGGTGGAAAGTCTTCAGGCAACACACTGACACGAGAGAACATGCTGAGGAACACAAGTTTGACCATGGTAAGAAGTGGCAAAGATGAGCTGCTAGGTAGGACAGAGCCAGACCATGATGGGGCCTCGCAGATCCTAAGGAAACAAGGCAGTACCTCCTCGGGCAATCAGGCAGCAACCAAGCATTCTAGGCAGACAAGCTACATGATCTCTGTGTTTTCTAGAGAGATCATGAGACACCTGGCTGAGCAAAGCTACTCCAAGAGTTCAGGTGGTACTGTACCACAGAGGTCTGTACCACAGAGATTCACAATTAATGAAGTTCACACTGAACTGAGAAAGTAAAGCATGAGGACCTAAATTAAGGTGGTAGTGACAGGAATACAGGAGGAGTAAAACAGAATTTGGCATCTGACTGCTACAGTTGGTGTCTAATGATGCCTATAAAGTGCTGGCTGTGGAGATGGTAACACCGTTTTCAGAAAAAAAGCTTATTAAAAACAGTATGAATGTGAAGTTGGAAAAGATCTGAGTCAAGTGCAACGGTACGATAGAAACTCAGCGGGGAATGGAAACTCTAAGGCTCATTTCGTTATCTGCGAAATGGAGAGAAGTATCATACCCTTAAAAGGATTAAATGAGACAATCCATGAAATAGGCTTAATATAGTGCCTATTTGTTAAATGCAGGTTAAATGCTGGCCCTTATCAGCATGCGTGTTAGGGTGAGTGTAGGTTACGGATGAAGACTGGATGAGGTGTCCCACTCTTCTTCCTGTTACCCAATGAGGCTCTTTCCAGGTCTGTTGTTCCAATTCCTCCCTCAATAACGGCCGTTCCATAAATACTAAGCATGAAAAAGTGCAAATGAACACCTGTTCTAATAGAACCAAACTTTACCTAGGGGCATAACACACTATTAGCTATTTCAGTAATACACTTTCCAAAAAAGAAAAAAAAAAACAAGAAAAGAAAAAGAGAAGCACCGAGTCTTTCTTTTAATTAAACAACAAAGACTATGACGATCCCTAGGGCTGTAGTACACGATTCTGTAGTTAATACACACCTTCCACAGCAGGTGTTTTGACAGAAAGCTCTTATCACCCACCCTTTCCGGGGAACGAAACAGCGTCCAGGGAGGGCACGGGGCACCCCCAACGACACCCTGCAACCTCAGGCCCAGACCTTGCAGCCTCCACAGAAGGCGGCCACTGCGGCGCCCCAGGAAAGACCTCAGAGAGCACGGAAAGCCGGCGGACTTGTGGACTTGAGCATCGTCCTCAGGGGCGGTAAGGGAGCCCTGGGCTGGATCTGGAGGGGGCGCGCAAGGGCAGCCCGAGGTCTGCGGCAGGGGAATGGGCCAGCGCCTTCCCTCTCCCCTCCCAGACTCGCACACTCCCTCCCCACCTGGTTAAATCTCCCTTTGCCTGGGACCAGTGGTGGCGGCAGCCAGGGCGTGGGGCCGCTGAGCAGGAGCCGCCAGGGCTGCTGCCTGCAAAACCGCAGGCCGGAGCGGGAGCCACCCCGCCCGCCGCCCGCCCCAGGATCTCCATTCTAGCAGCTCCCGCCTCCCCCCGCCCTGGGTGGCCCCGGAGACTAGTCGTCGCCGGCCCCCGCCCGCCCCCAGCCCTCCCTCCCCTTCCACCCCCTCAGCTCAGAGCAGGTACCTGCTCGGGCTCTTCTCGGTACCTGCTTGAGCCGCCGCCGAAGCCGAGGCCACTTGTGCAGCCGACACCTTCTGCGCTGCCGCCGCTGCTAACGCCGCCGCAGTCTGCGCAGCCACCACCGCCGCTTGAGGCGCGGACTCCGAAGCCGTCGCCGCTTGTGCAACCGACGCCATCTGCGCCAACGGCGCTTGCGCCTACGCCTCCGCTTGCGCCGCCAAAGCCGCTATCTGCTCTGCCGCTGCTACCGCCGCTGACGCCGCTTGCGCCGCCGACTGGAAGCCGTCGCCGCTTGTGCAGCCAACGCCATCTGCGCCGACGCCGCTTGCGCTTGCGCCGCCGCTGCTGCTACCGCCGTCTACGCCGCCGCCGTTTGCCCGGCTGCGCCCGCCGTCTGCGCTGCCGCCGCCGCTTGTCCAGCCGCCGCCGTCTGCGCCGACGCCGCTTCCGCCGCCGATGCCGCTTGCGCCGCCGCCGCCGCCGCCGCCTGCGCGAAAAGCGTCGGCGGCGGCAGAGTCGGCGACGGCGGCGCAATCAGCGTCTGCGGCGGCGCAAACGGCGTGGGCGGCGGAAGCAAGCGGCGTCGGCGCAGCTGGCGTTGGCTGCACAAGCGGCGGCGGCG